TCCACCGGTTCGATCGCTAAAAAGAAACTGCGATTCATAACTTCAGCAAATATAAATTTGTTACAAAGAACATGAACAGATGAGAACCAAATATTGTACTAAATAACCAGAAAAAAATCAAAGAATTGAAAGAGGGAAGAAACCAAATGCGCTGCTAAGTAATTGCCTAGGGCTCCCGTAAGAAGAGATTTGGGGGAAATTTTGAAATATATAGTCGGCTAATTTGTAATAAGAAAGGAATTTTGAGGGCATAAAGGTAAAAGAACATTTCACTTTATTGGGCTAGCGGACCGGATTGTACAATCGGACGTGTTTGGGTCGGATCTGTAATCCGTTAATTGGGGGATCGGTAACCGGGCCGCAGATCCATCCCGGATCAGCTTGTGACTAACCAAAGCTGAGATCCGCCCAGATTGGAAGATCCATCCGGCCCAATCCAGTGAAAGAAGAGAAATGCACAAAATAAAAGAATATAAAATACCAACACAAAATAAAAGAAGAGAAATGCACATATTTAAAATAATTCTGACGACATATTTTTAGTATCAGTATTGACTTCAACATATTTATGTATATATAAAATTAATTATGAATATAAAACTATGCATATATACGTATAATAATTTATAAGAAATGATAAACAAAAAATGTAATACTGTATAATTCGAATATTGTGCACTTTGTAATCGAATGGTGGTAGAAAAAAATGAAATGAACATTGAGGGGTTTATATAGTATTGAAAATGAACTTAATTCTATGGAAAAATTAAAAATTCAAAATATTTATATATTAGTTAATGAAATCAATTCAAACAAATAAAGGAAACAACCCAAAAAAAAATATAACTTGTGGAAAAAAAATCTTGCAATATAAAAACATTAAATATGAAGATACGATTTTTATTTTTTACCATTCAATTTTGAATTAAAGTATAAATTAAGTCAATCAAAGATGAAATAATGGAATCTTGGAATATTAAAGATTCCTTTATATTGGTGATTTGATATTTTATTGAAATAATAATTAATAAATTTTTTTTTGCATAATCCGTAGTTCTATAGTTCGGACCGCATTATTATATATTAAATAATGTTTTCCAAAATACAACCAACTACATTAAGAATTAATCCACCGTGTATAATAAAAATTATTTAAAAAAAATAGTGGATTATTTATTAAATACTTCTATTAAAAACTAAAACATTTTTTCATTATTATTTTTAATGGAATAGATATTCGAATATTCTAAAATATTGAAAATTAAAAAAAAATAAAAAAAACAACAACATATTCCTTTATTTTAATATTTTAGTATTTAAAAAAATATTTTTTTAATGAAAATTATTTGAATATTCGTAAAACAATTGAGTTTCATGAATTTATTTGAATAAATATATTTTGAAACACTAAAAATATAAATAAGATTTTTTTATTTCGAATTTATAAAATATTAACTTTGGAAATAATATATATACATGTGGTAATTATTAAATGATTGTGTAAATGTAAAATAGGAAAAAACTTAACAACATCCATAAATAAAAATGCCACCTAATCAATTGAAGAATCCACCTAATGAATTGAACTCCAACTAAGCAATTTTGACAAATGACATCATCATTTGCCACATGTCAATCATTGAGGGCATAGATCCTCTTTTTATATTATATATAGATTATTTAGTATTCGATTTTGGATTTTGGATTTTGGATTTTGGATTTTTGGATTGTGGATCAAAATTGTAATGTATGCAAGATTTTGGATTTACGATCCGATTTTAATTTTAGAAACATATTTTTTCATTCAGTTTTTTTTATTTTTGATTTTTCTGTTTTTCTAAATTTATTATTTTACAGTAATTATTGTTTCGTACTTGATGACACTAGAGTTAGATCACCTTAGAGAGTTGAAGTAGGATGAGCTGAAAGAATATAGTGGATAATTAATTGGTTCACGAGCTTGATCACCTTGAGATACCGGCGATCATAGAACACGTAAACTAAGTCGGGGGTTGATCCGGCGAAAACCCTCCGACGCTCTAGTCAAACGTGCACATAGTAAAAATATCCAGAGAATACATGTTATAGTATTGCTCAGATAATATGACGTAACTTAAGGAATAAGTTCAAACATTTATTTACACCTCATTGATTGGGCTGAAGTTAAATTAGTTGAGATTATCGGGCCAAAACCTTATTTGAAGGTGATTGAGCCTCGCTAGTTGTGGTCTTCAATATTGGGCTCGTGGCACAGTATGTAAATAAATTGTAGACCTATTGGGTTGGGCCAATTAGGTATATCAGCACTTTATCTTATGTGCGCAATTTTATTGGATTAATATTGTTCAAGAAGTACAATCCTCTAGTTTTTCTTATGACTTCGTACTTATCTTCTGGCCCGTTCCTGAGAATTCGAAGCCAAGAACAACTTAAAATGGGATCCTATTTTGACAAATCAATTTTATTAAGGGTGCTCGAAATTAAATATACTAAAAATATATAAATATTTTTTTTCAAAAATAATGGAATAAAAAACTATGGGAGTTCGGGGGTTTGACGCAGTGTCACCGAAATATTTTTTGAAATGTATGAATATACAATAACTTAAAATATGGAAAAAATTAAAATTAACAGGATGATTTGTAGGTACACTCCCTCCCATGAAGTGTAATCTTTATAACAAATAGACTTCCTAAATATTTATAAAACTTAAATACACTAGTGAATATTGATTCTTTTTTTAGGTATAATAATAAATAATTAAGACGTTATAAATTTAATATGTAGGACACCAATGTTAAGAAAATTGTAAAAATATGTATTGATCATTTATTTTAAATTATTTTTAGAACAGATGTTCCAAAATATTATATATAATAAATTTTAAAAAATAAGTATTAATATATAAGTGTATATAAAGTAATTTGGGGCTCTACATTTTCGTAAAAATTCGGGGCCGTAGGCAACCGCCTACTTCGTCTCCCTTCAGAACCGGCCCTGCTTATCTTATGTGGCATAATTTTATTGGATAATTACAGTTTGAGAAGTACAACCGTGTATTCTTACTTTTAATGTCTCATTTTATATTTTATGGGAACTCCAAATACGGCGAGACAATCAATATCATAAAAAATAAACTAATATATGTATATAAGGTATATACCCAAATACAGTTAAACCTCGATAAATTAATAATTTCGATTAAATAATAGTTTCTCTCGGTCTCGATTCGATGAAAACGTCTTAAATTATTAACTTAATAATTTAATAATTTACTATATTGAAAGAATTTCCTTGGTTCCAACAATATTAATTTATAGGGATTTAACTGTATATTAATATAGACGTAATTTTTTTTTTTAATTAAGCGAAATATTAAATCATCAAACTAATAATTTATTAAGTTTTTATTGAGTATGGAATAAAAAAAATTATTATTTAAGTGAGATTATTAATTTATAGAAATTTACTTTAATTACAAACGTGAGACTACTAGTTTATGAACTATTAATTTATGATGGTTCTACTTTAATTATTAATAATAAACCGAAAAATTCCAACTTAGCCGAATTATTAAATTTCTGATTTTTGAACCTATTTCCAAGAAAATAAAAGGGGCCTAGGGAATCTGAAAGAACGAATAAAATAAAATAATAAAAAAATCTGATTACATTTTCTCTCCATACAATAATATTACACTCATCATCAATTACCAGCATCCATGGGTTTCCGTTAGCGTGAAGATTCCGTCTACCATAGTTTCCGTTATCTACAGCACATACAAGTATACTGAAATCTCAAAACACACACACACACACAGAAACCATGGGTACCCACGAGGAAGAGAGACTGCTTTTGGAGGACGGTCTTATTGTGGAGGTGCCTCTTCCTTTTTCATTTTCTATTATTTTACGCACCAATTTCGAATTGTTTAATTTGTTAATTTTCGCTCTTCTGATCTGAATTTTATGATTTATTTTTTTGTTTTCGTTATTTGTTTATTTTATTTGGGGGATTTGATGTTGTTAGTCTCTTGCAATTCGAGTTAATTGAAATTGAATTTTTTTCAGATCAATTTGGATGAATTAGGGATTATCTCTATCTAGGGCACCTAATTTAGCTTTGTGCATATTCACAAATGAAGTAATTGTCAGCTAAGTAAGTAATTCGGTTGGCCCAAGAAATACTGAAGTGTTTGCTTTGCGTTCTCTTGGTTTTTCTTATGAAGATTGAAGTTATTTTTAATCCCAATGGCAGATAAGAATAGATTTTCAAACTGTGCTTCTTTGATTTAAGATTGTACGTTTTCGTTCCGATCACAGTATCGATGATGTATTCATCTTCACATTATCTTGAACTTGAGGTGCTTTTGACCCTGAAGAATCGTCTGTACGGTGCATTATTCACCGGTTTATTTGCGTAATCGCTGTTGTTCGTCTCACAAATGATTAAGATCAGGCAAATATTCATTGGCTCGTGACTATAACTTCTGTACTAAGAACATATCTTCTTTGAAAATGTTTTTTTACATGGAATATTTTGAAGTACTTCAGTTTGATGGTGGTTAATTCAGCTATTCGTTGTACATATAATTTTTTATTTTTTTTTTATTTTCCGGTAGAGTGAAAGTAATGGACTTTATACTGGTGACGGTTCTGTCGACATTAAGGGGAACCCCGTTTTGAAGAGCAACACTGGAAATTGGAGGGCATGCCCTTTTATTCTCGGTATTTTACATTTTACAACACTACGATACGACTCCACAGTTGTTGCTCGTTTCATCAATTCTTCTAATCTCTTATGTTAATGGCAGGAACCGAATGTTGTGAGCGACTAGCCTACTATGGGATTGCGACTAATCTTGTTAGTTATCTAACCAAAAAGTTAAACCAAGGGAATGTCTCAGCTGCTCGAAATGTGACCACGTGGCAAGGCACCTGTTACCTAACTCCCCTTATTGGAGCAGTCCTGGCAGATGCTTATTGGGGAAGATATTGGACAATTGCCGCCTTTTCCACCCTTTACTTCATTGTAAATTCCCTAACTTCTTTTCCCAATTCTGATTATTTAAAAACAAAAAAATCGGGCAGTAAGTAGATTTTTCTGGCTTTATACGGGCTGCATTATCTTGATTGTTTGTCTACAAAAATGGTTTCTTATCTCACGCACAGGTGCTCGTATTTTCGTCCCTCATATCCAGCGTTTGAATCTTTATAGTGGAAGAGACTTTTGCTTTTGTTTTTCTACTATCAATTGGAATTATGCATGTATTGCGTTATTCCTTTACTATCTGTCTGCGCCCTTCATTACAACAAAGTAAGAATTTAGAATCAGTCTCATTTGGTCTGTAAATCGCGCTTCGCCGTAATAAATCGAACATTAAGGACATACCCAATCACCTTTATTTGATTTCAGTACTTGGTGCTATAACCTGAAACCTTATACTCCAATCCCAGTTTCTAGTGCATGAAAAGCAAGCTAGTTACTTTTTTGAATTTGTTACTTCAAATCTAACTTTCGGGTTCAACTGGAACTAAATGTTCGTATCACGGGCTTGTACGTCATTATCTATTCGGTTATAAGTTTTTGTGGTTGATTCAGCAATCAAGTTAATTGTTGGATTTGATTGTACATTATTGTCAGAAGATACTTGAAACAGAATTCAGATATGTTTTTGTTTATTTATATTATTATTTTCGTATGTTAAATTTGTCTCTTATATAAGATGCTTCATTGATTGCTCCAATTTAATTATACTTAATTTCTTTCTGAATTTATGAAGGGAATGGGCACGCTGACACTGTCTGCAACTATACCTATTTTCAAACCCCCTGAATGCATCGACTCCGTATGCCCTTCTGCCACACCTGCTCAATACGCAGTATTCTTCTTCGGCCTCTATCTTATAGCCCTTGGCACAGGAGGAATCAAACCATGTGTCTCATCTTTCGGCGCTGATCAATTTGACGACACAGATTCTGCAGAGAGAGTGAAAAAGGGTTCTTTTTTCAATTGGTTTTATTTTTCCATCAATATTGGCGCCTTGGTATCGAGCAGTTTAATCGTGTGGATTCAAGATAATGCAGGGTGGGGGCTCGGTTTTGGCATCCCTGCTTTGTTTATGGGAATTGCTATTGCCAGTTTCTTTTCGGGCACTCCTTTGTATAGGTTTCAGAAACCGGGAGGAAGCCCTCTTACCAGAATGTGTCAGGTCCTCGTTGCATCGTGCCGTAAATGGAATTTGGCGATCCCTAATGATAGTACCCTCTTATACGAAACACAGGATAAAAGCTCTGCAATTGAAGGGAGTCGGAAATTGCTGCACACCGATGAATTACAGTACGTCTTTTTTTTTTTTTTTTTTTTTTTCTGCATTAGATCTTCCGCTCGGCAACTAGCTTTCTTTTCATTAACTTGTCTTCATCTCCTTTTGCATTTCCACGAACCAAGCAATCACATTAAGCTGTTTTGTCTATTTTTTTGTGCTTTCTTTCTTCTCGAAGGTGCCTCGATAGAGCCGCCATAATCTCGGACCACGAAACCAAAACAGGAGACTATTCCAACCCATGGAAGCTCTGCACAGTCACACAAATCGAGGAGCTCAAAATCCTAATCCGCATGTTCCCCATATGGGCAACAGGAATCGTCTTCTCTGCAGTGTATGCCCAAATGTCAACAATGTTTGTCGAGCAAGGCATGGTCATGGACACCTCAGCGGGCCCCATCACAATCCCCGCCGCCAGCCTGTCGAGCTTCGACGTCATCAGCGTGATCTTCTGGGTGCCGGTCTACGATAAAATCCTAGTCCCCTTCGCCCGAAAGCTCACGGGGAAAGAGCGAGGATTCTCCGAACTCCAGCGCATGGGAATCGGGCTCTTCATCTCGGTCCTCTGCATGTCGGCTGCGGCTATTGTGGAGATCCAACGGCTGAGGATCGCCCGGGAGTTAGACTTGGTCAACGAGGGTGTGGCGGTGCCGATGAGTATATTCTGGCAGGTGCCGCAGTACTTTTTACTCGGGGCTGCTGAGGTGTTCACTTTTATTGGGCAGTTGGAGTTTTTTTACGACCAATCACCGGACGCCATGCGGAGTTTGTGCAGCGCTTTGTCGTTACTGACGACCTCGTTGGGGAACTATTTAAGTTCGTTTATTCTGACGGTGGTGACGTGGCAAACGACCCGTGGAGGAAAAACAGGTTGGATACCAGATAACTTGAACGAGGGGCGGCTGGATAACTTCTTTTGGCTGCTAGCCGGGCTGAGCTTTGCGAATATGGTTGTGTATGTTTTCTGCGCCAAGATGTATAAGTCGAAGAAAGCGTCGTGATCTCTGCTGATTCTATATTTTTTTTCTTCATGTTTGAGCACTTTTTATGTGAATGATAGGACCTCTCTATTACTACGTGGATCTGTACAAGAAGTTTGTTTATAGCTTTGTTTCAATGCGGCTGATCAGCTTGCTGCCTATGGTTCATCTTCTGTTTCGCCTCCATTTCCACGCCGAATCTGTCTGTGACTACATATAGATACAATCATACAACCAATAATTTAGTGAACATATGATTTAATTCGTGATAGAAAGTTTGGAACGCCATTTTCGAATTTCGCCGACTCTAATCCGTTTTTTTTTTTTTGTTTTTTTTTTCTGTTTTTCCATTTCAATTTAAATGATAGAAATCGAAGGTAAATCTTTTTTCAATTGGCGCATTGGTGTCGAGCAGTTTAATAGTGTATATTCACGATAATGTAGGGTGGGGCCTCGTTTCGGCATCCCTGTTTATGGCAACTGCTATTGCCAGTTTCTTTTCGGGCACTCATCTCTATAGATTACAAAAACCAGGTAGAAGCCCTATTACTCGAATTTGTCAGGCACTTGTTGCTTCGTGCAGAAAACGGATCTTGACAATCCCTAATGACAATCGCGCGAAAGCTCACCGGAAAACCTATTGGCTTCTCTGAGCTCCAGCGAATGGGAATCGGGGTCTTCATATCGGTTCTTGCCATGTCAGCAGCCGCCCTCGTGGAGATCTGACGCCTGAAGATAACTAGTGAGTTTGACTTGGTCAACGAGGCAATTCCTATACCGATGAGTATATTCTGGCAGGTGCATGCCTCAGTATGTTTTACCGGGAGCTTCTGAAGTGTTCACGTATCAGAGAGCTGGAGTTTTTTTTTCGACCAATCACCGGACGCCATGCAGAGTTTGTGCACAGCTCTGGCTCCTCAAAACTTCATTGGGGACCTATTTAAGCTCGTTTATTCTCACGGTGGTGATGTGGCAAACGACCCGCGGAGGGAAAACGGGTTGGATACCGGATAATTTAAACGGGGGCCACCTCGATTATTTCTTTTGGCTCGTTAGCTGGGGTTAGTTTCGTAAATATATGGTGATATACGTTTCTGCGCGAAAACGTACAAATCGAAAAAAGCTTCGTGATGGGATTGTGTGTGTGTGTTCTTGGTGGAATCCAATGGTGTTTATTTGTTATTTGGTATGTTGGCAATGATTTACAATGGGTTCTAGCTAGTTGTATTATTTGGGAGGGGCTGTCACATGGAAAATCTTTCTTGATTGATTCTTTTGAAATATACTACTCTATATATTCTTTCTTCTCAACGTTCATTTCTATCCCATGTCTTAACTTTTAGGGTAAATTACACCTACACCCCTGAGGTATACTAAAATAACTTTAAGGTCCTTGTAGTATCAGTAATTGCAAATCACCCCCTGAAACATTGTTAGAAACCCTAACGAAATAATTAATAATGCATTGGATAAGTTATTCCGTTAGGGTTCTAACGGACTATTAGTTTCAGACAGTGGTGAAGAAAACATTTCTTAAATCCTTATAATTATTTTATACAAGATTTATAAATTTTCGTTTATGGTAGCATTAACGGCCCCGCGGTAAACAAATATAGTGCATATCTGTCCCCAACACATGAAATCTTTGCTCCGGTAATTGTTTCAGGGGTGTAGTTGTAATTACAAATATCACAGGGACCTTAAAGTTATTTTAGTATACTTTAGGGGTGTAGGTGTAATTTACCCCAACTTTAAATACAACTTTCTGTTAACTCTTACCAAATCTAAAAAGCTCTCAAACTGTGGGCCTCTTTGTTTCTTTATTTTTATTATCATTATTTCTATTATTATTATTATTATTATTTATTTATTTATTATTTTTCCTGAAGATGGTTCGAAAACATTTTCTTTGCTTTCTTGATTGGAGGCATTGGGCTCCACAAAGTTTTAGCCTTGGCAAACCAAATATTTTCTCCCTTATTTGTTTTCTCCCTAGTTAATATTTCATAATATAATAAAGGGTCAACTGAGTTGGTCAACGGTTGTTTTTCACAATAATCCCATTCGAAACGAAAGTTTTAGCTACTTGAATTGGCTTTCCGAATCATCTTAAATTGTCTTTGTCGGAGATTGAATGGCGAATGTACGATCAAAATACTAACCCTTGCCAAAAGGTCGACCGGTTAGCTAGCTGCTTAACTGAGTCGGCCAATTTCAAGCTCGATTTTGAGAACGATTCCATTTGAGTTTCATAAAACACGAAACATGAATTTTTTAGCTCTTTAAGTTGGCATTCCAGATCATTTTGAATCGTTTTAATTGGAGATCGTATGAAAGCGATATGACACACAATACAATGCCTTGCCAAAAAATGTCAACTAGCAGGTCAACTGACTTGTCTTAGTCGATTAAGCATAAGACAACTGGTTTTTCCTTCATTTAACTATTGTTTTTCTTAAGTCAACTATTTTTTCCTTATATCAATTATATTTTTTCTTCAAGTCAATTAATTTTTCTCATAAGTCGATTAAATTTTACCTTATGTAACTATTTTTTCGATTAATCTTAGTTGACTGAGTCTAAGTCAACTAATTTGTTGTTATTTGATATGGTCGACGGAAGGTCTTAGAAACAGTTTGGCTAGACTTATTTAAATAGCTAATAAATTCCTATATTTAATAAGTTGTTTTAAGAGCTGATAAGTTGTTATATTTTTAGAATTAATTATTAAAATTTTTAGATAATGAATTTATAAGCTATTTTTACTCATTATAAGATTTTAAATGAAAATATGAGGTAAAAGAATTTTTTTTTTAAATTCTTACAAGCTCTCCAATAACTTATTTTTAAATTTTTTAAGATCTTTCTTTAAAAAGTTACCAAGCACTTTTGGAGAGTTTATAAACTCTTAAACATCTTATAATTTTTTTTTAACAATTTATAAGTTTAGCTAAACACCGTCTTAACTGACTAATTAATATGCTTTTACTATGCAACTTATATAAAAATATATTGATAAGACTTATGGCCAAGTTAACTATTTTTTCGACTAAATTAACTGATATAGTCAACTAATTTTGGTCTTAGTTGACTTGTGCTAAGTCAACTAGTTGATATTTTGTCCTCAATTAATGATGGAAAGGCGAGGGATCTTGCAATCTGCAATATTATTTGACCTAGAAATTTGTAGGTATTTGGCTATTTCTCAAAGAATAGAAATAAGTGGCATCTCTGGAAGAACTCGATAAATGAGTAGCATTGCTTAAATAATAATTTCACCTGGTCATAACTCAGTGAAAATGTATTAAATTATTCGTTCGATAAATTAATATTTTCATTAAATTAATAGAATTTTGTCAGTTCCACTATCAACTGTATTATAGAGATTTAAATGTATAATCACAATTTGCACAAATATCCTCCTCAAAATTATTTTCATGGTTTTAAGAAAATTATTTTGGCTTGCATTTTTCAGGTTGGATTGGTCGGAAAGGTCTTTTTTTATAATATTAAGAAGTCGAAGCATCTAATTTAGGATAATTAAAAATGTAATATGTACTCATATTAATTAAAAACAACTACAATTAAGTTCAATGGTCAATATGTTTTACACATATTTTATGTAAATAAGTATTTATTATAAGCTAATCTAAGTAAATAAATTTAATAAGTTAATTACAAAATCTAATCTAAGCCAGTGATTAATAATGCGTAATCAATAATCATCCGTTCGTTTGCAAAAAGTATTATATTTCGTATATAAGAGATGTAACATATTATAAATAATGGATATATTTTCTTATTTCCTAAAATGTGATATAGCAATTATTGAACAAACAATAATAAATGATAAATTTTGAACAAAAATGAGACAATTTAATAAAATTTTGGGCCATTTTCGGAGGAAAAAGTTCGAGCAATGTGATAATTATGTGGACACAAAAATATGAAAATGAAAATTACATTAAATGTCTAAATTCAATATATCATAAATGCTATTATTTATTTATTTATTTTATATTATTTTATTTTAATTTGTTTTTACAATTTATTCCCTGAATTAGTATGCCAGTCAGGACAATGTTGGAAATAGATTTTATGAGCCTACAATAAAATTTATTACTGTAATATAAGCCAAGATTTTGAGCTATTTGTAAATCCATGTAATTAAATTTGGTCTTATAAATATCGAAGGCATAAATTAGGGTTTTCGAAATCATCGGACGAAATTTTCATCGCTCATCAGGTATGAGCGCGCGGCGCAAACTTATAATTTCTTCTTGCTTTTTTTCGATTATTTATCTCGTCTTGATTTTAAGTTCTAATTAAATATGTTTGTCTGGATTAAACACATATGAAACGAGACGAATTTATTGTCGTCCTTCGTTAGAAAGCGCCGGGATCTCATTTAACTATTGTCGATGATCTTAATCAGGACAAAGATTTCAATTTTTCGAGAGATCCGGTTCAATTTTCAGGCACAAACCGCCGGTAAGTTCGAATTCTCTATCTACTTTGTAACGATTTTCCGTTATATGTATGCGGATATGTTTTATTGTGTTAATACTTGTTCTTCTATTATTCCTAATACATGTTTTCACAAAATTAAAAATTTATTAATTATTCAATTAATTAATTAAATCTGTGCCTTTGATCTAAAGGTAAATATGCATGATATAATTTAATAATCTTTTGGCTCTAAATGGAAGAAAAATAAAACAAAATTTAGGAATATATATGTATAGAGGATATATGAGTGACAATTTCTGTTGTCACTTGGTTGATCTAATTTGTCCCTTTTTGACAATTGACATACATATAAAACATAAAAAATAAAAAATAAAAAATAAAAAATAAAAAATAAAAAATAAAAAATAAACAATAAAAATAAAAAATAAAAAATAAACAATAAAAATAAAAAATAAAAAATAAAAAAAGTATTTTAATTTCAGAATCAAGCCGACGTGTTTGTTAGGTAAAAAAAAATGACTTTTTCTATAACTATATTTAGTTATTAGATTTGAGTCATCTTTGAAAAACTTTATACGATAATTCATATTCATGAAACATAGTATATCATATAAGTTAGGTTTATATATATATATATATATATATATATATATATATATATATATATATATATATATATATATATATATATATATATATATATATATATATATATATATATATATATATATATATATATATATATATATATATATATATATATATATATATATATATATATATATATAAATATATATATAAATATATATATATATATATATATT